AAGTCCATTTGGCAAGTTAGCCCGCAGGAACTCCTGGAATAATTGCAGGGAAGGGATAGCTTAGCAAAATGGACGAACTGAGGGTTGAACAAACCCAGGGACGTGGGAAGTACCGGTCAGGGTGTGCGCTTCGCACACCCCAGAAAAAGATGGGGAAGAGCGCGCATACCTCTTATTCTAGTGTAGCTTTGAAACTTTGTTGAGGGAAAGAAGAGGAGAAGGAAGGAGAAGGGATAAGAAACTCAAAACACAAACATACACTTTGTATGGCCGATTCGCACTGACAACCATTTCTACAGCCATACTTCCTTCTTGTGAGATTTGCCACTTTTTAAAACAATTCACCTTTTCTCTTCTCACTCCCTGTATACGAATGTACTGTCGTAAAAAGTAGCACTCCTTAAATTAAATATCTTAACACGCTCTGGCTTACCGCTCGCTACGCTCGCGCGTTATTTTCCCTTTAGTTAAGTTGACAGTGAGGAGTGAACTAGCCGATTGGTAGCATATCAGAAAACCTGAAGATGCTTAAACAAATATAACTACTGATCTTAATAACATATTGAGTCGATCTGTTGCTTCGTGCGTCTCCCATAACATTTTGCAAAATTCAGTTCTTAATTCAAAAAATTTTTAGCTCGCTTCGCTCGCGATGTTATTTCACATCTGTATGCTGCTTAAACTTCTTATGTCACTAGTGATTTGGATGTCATAATATTCGCAAGTAAGAAAAGTAGGAAAGGAACGAAAACGGAAGGGAAGGGGGGTCAAAATTGAGCACACCCCATCGCCAGACACTTCCCACGGCGCTGAACAAACCTGAACAAACGAAAAGGAGTCCGCCTGGCCCATTTTGGTCGTTTGTTTAACCTCAGAAGTCCATTTGACAAGTTAGCCCGCAGGGACTCCTTGAATAATTGCAGGGAAGGGATAGCTCAGCAAAATGGACGAACTGAGGGTTGTACAAACCTGAACAAACGAAAAGGAGGCCACCTGGACCATTTTGGTCGTTAGTTTTCACCTGGAAGTCGTTTCGTAAAGTTAGCCCGCTCCTATCTCTGCAGAAATTGCAGGTGGGGGGGGAAGCGTTATTAATTTTAAAATTCTGAGGGTTGAACAAACCTGAACAAACGAAAAGAAAGCGATTGGTGTAATCGCCGGTGCTCTAGGGCCATTTTTAGCGATTTCGGCGATCGTGAAGTTACCCCGCACGAAACAAAGTTTTAAACAAGATAGACAATGCATCAAACATGTTTGATACAGGGGTGGAAACCTCGTTCTTTACGATGGTTAGGTGTAAGCTAATGGTTACATTACAGCTCACTTTGGCTATTTATCAATTTTGATATCTCGGAAACAATGGACCGCAGCTTGAAAATAATGACATTTTCAGATCACCGGCTATTTCATTGATATATCACGCGAGGTCTTCGGTGGGATGTTCTAAATGCGTTCAACTAGGCATCCCACAACCCACGGGGGAAGACCCCTTTCGGGCAACGCACTGCGCCACACATGGTGGATTTAGTCTCGTGAGGCGAGTCGCCTCATGAGGCGCCTCACCTCAGTCCTCACGACTGTGATTGGCTAGCCAAGCTTGACCAGCCAATAGCAGTCGTGAGGACTGAGGTGAGGCGCCTCAAGAGGCGACTCGCCTCACGAGACTAAATCCACCAACAGAGTCCTCGACGACTAACCTCACTTTTACAATTTTCGCAATGCCCTCTTTCATACATTATTACCGTGACCAAGAGAGAGCCTGGTCCTGAATGATCAGTAAATACTATTGGAGGCTGTGTGACAGTTAATTCGAGGTATTTGTAATACATAAAACAACCCTGAGTTCGCGCATGCGTAGTGCGGATTGGTCGCGTGAAAACTTTTCTAAGTCCAATGTTGACAAAATCAGAAAAATACATAGGAGACGTATTTCAATTGGAAATACGTAACAAACTAACAGTCACATAGGCATAGTCACGATAGAAACAATATTGGGTAACATTATACATGATAAAAGTTAAATTACAGCCTGCAGTCTTGTACACCAATTTTTAATGGTTTATTTTAGCTTAAGGAAGAATCTCATTAAATCATCAAAAAGATAGAAAAATATTTAAAATAATCCAGAAGAAAAAAAAATAGTAAGACAATCAAAAATTTCCAATTTAAACACAATTTAATGAATAGCAGGTCCTTTCTTTTTGATCCTGCAGGAAATAAATGTATATATTGAGAGTTATGGATGGAAGCATCATTACTTCTGTACCAAAAAAATCCCAATTGAAGATTTTCCTCATTTTATTTAGTTGAGGTGACACAACGCCCCTTCTACAACAAATAAATCTTTAAAAAGACTTGACGTCCTGAAATAAGCCTCCAAAGGTTTACATTAATTTATACTCTCTAAAGATCTTCCACAAAGAAGGTATCGTACGATTGATATTTATTACAAGCAGACATTACAAATGACGAGTAACATCACAGAATCTAATCTAATTTCATGTGACAGTCATCAGAAAAACTTTCCTTGTGTTTTCAAGGGTAGAATCGGTTTTAATTTCACACTCTTCATTCAAAAACCTTTTCCTACAAGTACATATTGAGTTTTGTGTCCATCTTACTGATCTTTCGTGTTGCTCGCTAAATCTCACCCAGAGTACACTGTATTTAGAATAAAGGTTTACATTCAAAGGCTGTTGTTTGATTAGTAGGATTTGGCCTCTAACATGAACATTTAATTGAAAAGAGACTTTTGTGTAAACACGGTAAACACAGTCAACAAATAACAATTTAAGAAAGAAAGGGGCATTCCTAACCTACATTACTTCTTTTCAAAGTGCGTAATTTAGAAAGTATAGAATGTCTTGTACTTACTCAGAAAAGCGCTGAAATTCCGTGCTTCAACGAAATGAATGAACTATCTGTTTATATTATTTTTATATTTACAGTAATATTAACCAAAACACGAAACACGAGGAAAAATCCGGCGATCGCGACTTGTACACAACATCAATACCAACTAGCGACAAAACGATGGATTTCATCAACGCAAGTTTTCTTCGTATTTCGACGTTATGATACAACAAATACGGTTTTTAAAATTGAAAAACACCATTTTATTATCAAATTGATGAGATTTTGAACGATTTGCTGTTAGTTAGTTTCCTCTTGTTCTGTTGTCTACCTTGGAGGTGAATTAGAGAGAGACAGAAGATAACGTTCACGGCCCGCCTATAGAGTCGGGGTCGGTTGCACTCGACCAACAAACACCATTCTGGTCTTCTGGGGTTGTATTTAAGGAAGATTATCCGGCTGCAAACAATGGCAACCGAATTTAGTGACACATTGATATGCGTTGCCAATACTTTGCAAACATTACAGGACAATTTAAAATGTGCCATATGGTAGGAATTTGAAAATATGTTTGTTATTGTGTTTGTTGTATAGGTTATTGCTGACGGTAATAATTTTTTGTTTATTTTTTTAATTAGCAAAGAAATCTTGAAACAGCCAGTGAGCACTCGCTGTGGGCACACCTTTTGCGAGCCCTGCATTAATTCTTCTGCGAGAGGTGAAAATGCTGTATGTCCTGTGTGTAATGCTCGAGTCAATCGCCAAGGCATTGAGAAAAATTATCGATTTAGAAGTCTTGTCAAAGCTGTTCATGCCTTGATGACTAGTGCTCAAAAGGATGCTACGGAAATGGGCTGTGAAGATCGTATGTTTTTCCACTCTTTTTTTCATTATTATTGCTTTCTATTGCAGGATTATCTTGAACTTGAATTCTAAATTGTTTCCAATTATCATTTGCCTTACAGTTTTGGGTTTGTCAAATGCTTTTTCTCCTACTGGACATGGAAATGCTGCAGTTGCTGCTGGTTCGGTACCTAAAGTTTCCCGAGACTCAAGGGTTGAAACATGGCTTAAGGGTGTAACTCCAACTTGCCCAACTCAAGAGTCTAGTCCCACAATTGATGCTGACAACACGCCGAATGAAGAATCTGATTCTGAAATGTTCTCGGTTTCACAAATTAATCTTGATCAGACTTCTCGGTCCACGGAAATAAAACCTTTGTCAGCTTACATTAAAGAGGATGGTGATGCAGATGAAGGAAGTTCAAAAAAGTTAAAAGTAAAGCCAAAACCTACCACAGAAGCTCGAGGTATCAAAAAAAGTCTTTCACTTAAAAGGAAAGTAAAGCAAGAACCTATTACAAACTTCTTAGGCGAAACAAATCTAAGTAAATTGAAGCTGCCAACTACTGTGTCTAGCTCCTCCAGTGGTAGTAACAATGCCAAAATCCCTGACCTCAAAATTCCTGAACCTGTGGTTGTTCTTCTCAATAGAGGAAAAGAAAGTCCTCTCCCTCCACGCTCACCAGGCTGTTCTCGTGTGAAGAAAATGAAGAAAGATTTTAATCACCCACTAAAGATACTGAGAGCAGCCAATTCCAAGGGTGGTAATTCGCCTGTGCCAGTCATTGAAGATGGTGGCAGTGGTGATGATCAGCCTTGTATCAGTCTCTCTGCCGAGCTGAAGGAGATTGTGAACAACCTTGAAAGTGAAATACCAGATTTTGAGAAGTCTGTTCGCAGTACAGAGAGTAAAGAAAGTGAACGAATGTTCCAGCTTACCTCTCCCACTAGGAGCCACCATCAGATAGGTGAGTGCAGATCTTTGATAATTATTGACAGTCATGTGCATGGTTTGATGCTGTTATTTTAAGAATCATTACACTCTTTCTTTACCTGCATAAAGGTTCTGGTGTGTCTGCGAGTCGACCGAAAGTAAAATTTCACAAACTAGGGTCCTTCAATTTAAAAAGACCTCAAATAGTGCTCATGCCCATTTATCTGAAGGGTCCTCTTGAACGTTTACACCATCCACTTCTTGTGGATGCGCAAACTCAAACTAGCAGACAAAGTTCAGAATATGATGTTGACATGATGGATGCAGGAACTGCTGTTTTTACTCAGCCGCTAAGACGTCCTGATACTGTAATTCCAGAAACTGCATCTGATGATGTGAGGGTAGAACCTGGAGGCAGTCCCTTCAGCATGTCCCATTCATTAAATTCAACGTCTTTGTCTTTTTTGTCTATTCCTGGAGACCTAAGCTCTCAAGAGTTAATTAATCCAACTCCACAAAAGCAAACCTCATTTTTGTCAAGGTATTTAACTTATCATTACTAAATTTTCCTAAATTTTAGTCTTTTTACAAGGCAAAGTTATAATTTATCATCTGTTGTGTTGGTACAGGACATTCACTCAATCAGATGACAGATCAGTACAAGTCTGCACTACTAGTGTTTGAAGTTCCACTTGAAATTACTTAACTAGGCAAATCTAATCTAGTTAAATTTCTCTCAATTTAATTGATGTGTGTCAAGTGTCTACTTGTTGAATTAAATCTTCACTTTTCTGTCATTATTTATAGTCCAGATGTATGCCATCACGTTACATGGCAGCAAGAAAGTAAGGGGTCTTATTGCTGGATCTATTGTTCTCCAAGTATTTGATAATGTGTTAATTCCTTCTAAGACATAGAA